TTTGCATATCTTCAAAATTTAGATATAAATGGTGCTATTTTTGTTGGGAACCATGTAACAATTTTAGGTAAGATTTTTTTAAATCTTTTTAAAGGATTGGATATCTATGAATTTTTCTTTATAGCTTCTCGTGAGATGAATGCAATTAGAAGGAGTATAGTACACTTTCGTAAAGATAATGCTAAATGGAGATGGAGACAAGGAGATTGGATAGCTCATTTATCAGGTATAATATACTTTTCTTTTGAAATATATAAATTATTAATAATAATTTATTTCTTTTTTAAGGTTTAACTCCCATGGCTCCTGCTATGAGGCAAAAATATATAAAAGAAATTTGTAATTTAACTCCAGTACATGTATGCCCATTTAATGTAAGTTGAAAATATATAAAAAAAAAAAAACAAAGAATTAATTATTATTATTATTATTTAGATAACTTTAAATGCTACAGAATTAATTATTGAAGAAAATAAGCTATCATTATTGCGTTATAAAAAAGAATTGCGTGAGAAAAGCAAAATTGTACCCAAAAAGTGAATTGTGACTATATTTATCTTTCTTTTTCTAAACTAATATGAAACTAATCATTAAAATACCAATTAATTACTAAAATATAGTCTGAATGTCAAATTAAGATATGAATATATTTCAGAATATTTAAATACAAAAATATAAGAAAGAGTATTAGTCAATAGGTTATTAAGAAATAACTTATTTTCTGTCCAAAATAATTTAATAAAAAGAATAAATATCAAAATAATTAAAATTAATGTAAAAGTCTACTAGTTATTTCTAGATAGTAACTTATTTAGCAGCTTTTTTCTTTTCAAGTTTCCTTTTGTAAAATTCAAGCTCTTTACCTTCTAGAATGTAACCATCACAACGACCACATTGACCTGGACGTGAAGAAATACAAGCTAATAATCTACCAATTGTAAATTGTTCTTCTACAAGAGGATCAATAACATTATTATCAAGACGTGCCTTCTTAGTAGCCAAAACATGCCTACTTCCACTTTGAATATCAGCACGGGAATCTGTAATATCATCTGATTTGTTTCTACGTCTTCCTAATTCTACACCATAATGTTGTAAATAATATTGACGGAATGGAGTAGCATCAATAACAACTATGGCATTCTTAACCAAAGTCTTAGTTCTAACTAATTCATTATTAGAGGCATTATAAACTACTTCTAAAATACGGGTCTTTCTTGAAATACCTTGTGATCCCCAAGAATAATTACCACTATCCAAACGTAAAGCTCTAAACTTCTTATTTCCACCACGACAACGAACTACTCTTATACGTGGTGATCCAAGCTTTGTATTTGAAGCAGGACGTCCCAACTCATATTTACGCTTCTTAACTGTTATAGGTCTACGACCACCAGTAGCTCGATGTTTATGACGGCTATCACGGCTAATACCCATATTTTAGGTTTTAATTAATCACTAAATTCACTTAAGAATAACTTTAAATTAAAACCTAATTACAAATGACTATACGTAGTATAAGCGGCTTCCAAATATTTGAGACAGACAAGTTTATTTATTATATCTGTAATATTAAAGGTGTCTCTAAATCTAGCGCGTACTCGTGATCATGTTAATTTCCTGCAAATTGCAATTTATGTTACAAATACTAAATCGGATAATACTTAGATATATAAACAATAATTCATATAAATCATTAGATACAAATATCTTAAAATCAACGACATTATCTTAAGATTTCTAATAATCTTAACAACTATTCTTTAATACTAATATTGAATTCTAAATTAAATCTATTAATCTAAATTAGAAATATCTTGATTAGAATATTTTCCTTTCTGTGTTGTATGACTTCTTCTAGCTAATAATTCACGTCTATCTTTATTTAATTTTAATTTTGTTATTACAACATTTGAAGGATGAATACCTATAGGTACTGAATCTCCATTTGTCTTCTTTCTTGTTATCCTCTCAACATTAATAGAGAACTTTCTACGATATACACGAGTTACTACACCCTCATAATCATGATTTGATCCACGTATTACCATAACTTCATCACCCTTACGAATAGGGAGAGATCGGACCTAATTTTTAATAAATCAAAATAATTTATTTATAAGAATATAAGAATATTGTACATTATGAAACTTACATTATACTTCTGACGAAGTTCCTTTGATAATGGAGATGCCATTAATTCTCTTCTTTGGGTTGAAGTAGTATCAAAGTGATTTTTTCTATTTTTTCTTGCAGAAGAGCTCACAACTATTAAATTAATAATAAATGAAATTTCTCAGTTATTAAAGAAAAAAAAAATTAACCACATAACTCAAAAAAAACTTACCTTGACTAAATTTCATCTTAGATAAAGAAATATAAAACTATTTATTTAAATAAAATTATATAAATTTATATATTTCCTTCGATATTCTTGTTAGAGTCCTATTTTAAAAATACTTTCACTTTAACTAACCGCGACGGCGTCTCGTTAAATAATAATAAATAGCATAAGGCGCACGCGCCAATCACATGTAATAATTTTAAAATCCTTAATATTTATTTTATACATATGTATATGTATAGATTACATAATAGTCTTTAAAACTAAATAAAAGTACTAAATATATCATTATATTACATTTATAAATATTAACTACGTTTATTCTTAGGACATATATGTTCATCTGTCATCACATGTAAAAAAACTTTATTACAGCTATTATTTATTGCAGTTAAGTCATATCCTTTACTCCAATCATAGCTTAATGAATATGCTAATAATTTACCAGATGGGCTAAATTTAATATCAGTTACAGGAGTTGGCATTGTCTTAAGACCTGTTAATCGTGTCCTATTATCCTTATCCCAAAATGCTATAGCACCATCACTACCTCCTGTTGCAAATGTACCATATTGTAAATGAAAATCCAAAGCATTAATTGAATAAGCTATATCAGGATTACTACCTGTAACCCTATGGCATCTAAATGGAAAATTCTTATCTCTACGTGATTCTTCAATATGTGCTACTGCACATCTTCCTTCAATTGAACCAATAGCAAAACCAGTTCTATCAGGAAATAATGAAATTGAACGTGGTTGTAATTTTAATTGAGTTTGAATCCTTTTATATGGTGTAGGTGTCATATTCTGTAAATTCCATACATATACTGCATGATCTGCTGCAGCAATAACAAGTGCAGGATATTTAAGATCCATTGTATATACACGCTCTGGAATATTTAATATATATACTGGATTTGGAGATTGACCATTCCAAAATTTTACTGTTCTATCCCAACTTCCTGTTACTACCATTTTCTGTTCATCACACCAAAATATTTGGCATATTGGACCATCATGTTTCCCAATAGTCTGGCTCTGACGTGTATTCATATCATGCATCTTTAATTCATTATCACATCCTCCTGAAAATAAATATCGATTATCAGAACTAATAGTACATCCTAAAACTGGTGCATTATGTTGAAATGCGGCTCCTAAAAAATAATAAATATTATTATTTATTCTTATTCAATATTATTCTTAAAATATTTTACTTACCAAATCTTGTATTTATGGAATTACCACCCATATCTTGTACTTCCCAAACCCTAACTGTTTTATCCCAAGATGCAGCTGCAATTAATGATGAATTCATTGACCAACATACCTAAATATTAATCACAGATAAATCTCATTATTTATCATAAAACCATAGATATATAAATATCATACCTTATTAATAGAATCATTAGGACAATCACTTAATTCAATACTTCCATTAACATTATACTTTGATTGATTACCAAATGTAGAACTTCCAAACATTATTTTAAAAACATAAATAAAATATCACCCATAAGCGGTCTATAAATTCCAAATCTTGAGACTTATAAGTATACTACTATTCAAAGTATTTGTTAATTTTAATATGGCAATATATATCATATGCAATTTATCAATGAGTTTTATTATTCTCCAAATTATTCATATAATATAAATAAAAACTTGGATCATTGTAAAATATGGTCATTATATTCTAATAACTATATACTCCAAATATTATATTATGATAATATTGGTATTCAAGTTACTGTATCATCTAAAAAAAGTTACATTTATTATTATTTGGGAATATTTTTAATATTAATTATATTTATCTTTATTTCTCTATATTTTATTTTTACAATATTTCAATTTCTTATACAATTATTGGTTCTAATACTTATTATATATATATTAGGAAATAAATTTATAATAAGATCACAAACTATATATATATTATTTGATATAGGCATACAAGTTAAAACATTGTATGCTTTTAATTCTGAAATTATTCCATTTATTGATAAAACAAGGATTAAATCAATTCTTATTAATGAGGGTATAACTTATACTGAGATATTTAATTATATATGCGTCATTATTGATGATCAATATTCAATATTTCTACCTTTTATATATTTTAAATTACCTATAGAACATATCATTATTATTTATAATTGCCTTCTCAAACTTTAACTTTATAAATATATTATTATAGAATTACTAATATTATTCACTAAGGTTTACTAATTAAAATTAATATTACCATAATAGAGATTCTTTAAATAAAAAAGTAAGGGAATAATATAAATTTTTATTATTATTACTTTTTTGTTTTTTTAAAAAAGTCTTATAAATAACTTTATTCTTAATTAGGGCTTTATATATTACTCTTTATATCAGGATTTATAAATTAAGATAACTTCCTATTTAAATATTTCTAATATTAGATCATTTTTTTTATATATTAATAATATTTGAATTATTAAGTAAGAAATTTATTTATAAATTTAATTTTCTAAATTTCTAAGTTTAAATATCTTTATTAGGGTTTTCATCTATAGGGTTTTATATTATTTTATTATTGTAAGATTAAATATAAATTACTAAATATAAAATTTTTTAAGTTAACCTTAAATCTATAGTTTAAAAATATTCTAATATTTAATACTTCTTAAATATTATCTTAATATTAAGGGAAATATGCAAAATCCCTCAAATTAAATAATAAGCTAAGTTTTAAATATTAAAAATATAGTGATAAATAAAATGTAATTATAATATTTGTAATAATTTAGTAACATTTTATTAGTTTATAATAATAATAATACAGTTTAGTCTAAGATAATAAAATATTATAAAAAGACATGAAACAATAATGTACTAAGATTTGAATAAAATATAATGAATTATGTATATTATAATAATTAATACTTAGATTTATAATAATTATATAGATAATATTAGAAAATATTTAATAAAAATAAAATTTTATAATTTATGGGGGTATAAAAAAAAGAAATATTACTAATTTTCGGTAAATAACTATACTCGCATACGCGCTTATATTGACCGCTAAAATTCCCCATTAACTCGAGGGTAAACATTTTTTTAGTATTATTTTTTTAAAACTCAAGATTAAAGGGGGGGCATTCTCTTTGAGGTTAATTTTTAATAAACTATCGTATACTGTAGTCCATCTATCTGGTTGTAATACTACATGCCTTTTTTGACTGGTGGCCTTTTGTAGAAAATACTACAAGTGATTTTGTACCGAAATGCCAAAGAATTTTTGTCCAACTAAATATTCAGAGTACTTTTCAGTGTAATAGAAAAATTCATCTGGCATTTTAGTTTTGATTATATCAATTCAATAGTATTGCAGAAACCTCCCCTCTACCAGGTTTGATATATTTACAATTTATACTTCCTCACATTTGTAACTGGTATATAAATTTTCAATGGTTTACGAAAATACAGAAATCAAAGGCATTACCAGTGAAAATTCAATTGGTTTGAAGATGTCACTCAATTTTCGGGGAGTATCACCAGAAGATTGTTATTATAGCGCAGATGAAGATATTCAATATGAAAATGATAATATTAATGGTCCGTTAAAGTGTGTCCAACGTTTTTCATCTCCTTTAAAGAATATAACTGAAACTTCTAGTAATAGATCATCTTCAATTGGAAAAGATTCAATACCTACTGATCTAACTCCATGTTTATTTGAAGAGATTTATAGTATGGAATCTAATAATCCAGATAAGAAGACAGATTTTGGAATACTACAGGAAATACAAGAAAACTGTCAGAATTCACAATTAGAGATGGAAGAGAATATTATGACGTATAGTGATAATGCTAATTATTACAGGAATCAGAAAATTAAACAATCAACCAGATTGGGATATAAGAATATTGTAACAAATAATCAATTATCATCATGTACGCCAACTCCTTTACATATTGCTTGTAAAAATGGTAATGTTTCTTTGGTTAGGGAGATTTTACTATTAAATGATACAGATGTTAATTACAGTGGTCCTATGGGTTATTCATCACTTCATTGGGCTGCATTACGTGGTCACTTATTAGTTGTTAAGGAACTATTGAAATTTAAAGCAAATCCTAATGTAAAGACACATATGTATTGTACCCCTTTACATTTTGCAGCTGCATATGGTTATGAAGATGTTGTTATAACCCTTTTGAATGCTGGGGCAAATACAGAATCTGTTAGTATAAATGGTAATACTCCACTCTTGTCAGCTTCATATAGAGGTCATGAGGGAGTTGTAAGGGCTTTACTTAAACATAATGCAAATAGGGTATGCAAAAATAATCAGGGACTAATGGCTATTGATGCTGCTAAATTACATGGGCATTTTGACGTTGTTCAGATTTTAGAGTCATGGAGATGTATTAAAGGCAATACTGATTTGATAAGTGATAACAATAGATAATGATAATATTTGGAAAATATCTTAATAATGAATGCAATCCTATTTACACTAGTTCTAAGTGTTGAGAATGATTACCGCGTTGGGGTGGTGTATCAATTCTATTTAGTGATTGGAGAATTATTTTAAAATAGTTTTAATACTAAAATTTTTAAAATATTGCAGATTCTATATTTTCAAGTCTTACAATATACTTATATTAATAACTATCACTGTATGTTTGTTATATTCACATTAAGGATTTTTTTTTTAATAGAAAGTGACTTATTAGAATAAATTATTTTGATTATTGTTATTATTTTCCTAATAATATTTTACATATATATTTAAATGATAAATTTCATTATTCCTGGTTCTTTTCATATAATGAGATGTCTTTATCAAGTAGAAAATTTAAATATATACATTCTTGGGGGCAAGGTAAAATTGGTGTATTAAATAATCCTGAACAAGTATTAAATACAGGACAAGATAAGCAGGGGACATCCTCTACACCAATATTTGTTGATAAGCAGGAAGGCCAATAAATACACATATAAAGCCATTCTCCAGTATTATTAATTTTGAAACAAAGAATTTTAGATTCAATTATTAACATATTTAAAACTGATTCTAAATCACTTAATGAAATTGATCGTCTAGAGCTACATGTGTCTACAGAAGATTCGCTGTTTATAAAATCCAATATTTCATTAATTGTTGCTCTACGTTTACTCATAAGAATTGCGATTATTTTATCTTGTATATAATCAACAAATGTCATATCAAATTCTCCATTATCATAAAATGTCCCACCAGCTATTTCTTTTGATGGTTCTAATGATGCAAGAATGTATACCTTACGATTCTTTACATGTATACTTTTAATAGGTTTTATTAGGTTTAATTCATTACATAAAAGTTTCACTGCACGTTGAACAATATGAGTTTGTAATCCTGTAACCTTCCTAATATCTGCAGTCCAAATTCCTTGATTACCAGCATTTTCAATACAACAATATACCTGGTACTCATCAGGAGTTAATTTATTTAACTTTGAAGCAATAATTTCACTTCTAAGAATAAAAAAAACTTTATTCTGATTATTACCAGATGTTAGCTTACTTTTTTTTATTGAACATAGTCGTTTTTCAGTAAAAATATTTAATATACGGATAATTAGTGAATTATCCCATCCAAGTGATTGCAACATTTCAGGAGTAAGTTCATTATTATTTTTACATCCATATTTATATGCTTCTTGCAGTATATCAGTAGATATCACTGTCTTCTTCTCTGCCATTTTATGACATTTCTAAATGATATAACTCTACTCCATAACCGCTAATCAGTACTAGGAAGAATATTCTAAAGAATTAGATCTTTTATTTATTTAAAATAAATATTTTATAATAATAATAATAAAAGAATAAAATTCCATATATATCATAATTTTCTGAAATATTTAACAATCATAATATAATTCAAATTCTTTAGGATTAGGAACTGATTCTATTAATATTACTTCTTCTCTTTTCAATTTAATATAATTTAAAATAAACTCTTTTTTAAAAACTCCATCTTTAATCAGAAAATCATTGTCTTTTTCAAGATAATTAAGAGATTCACTTAATGTTTTTGGAATTTTTAATAAGGAATTATCCATATTTATATTATCCTGATTATCATTAATTAAATATTTATGAGGATCAATATTTAATTTAATTCCTTCTAACCCAGCACATAATATAGCTGCAAAAGCTAAATATGGACAAGCAGAAGAATCTGGAACTCTAAATTCTATTCTTTGTGCTTTTACATTACAATAACTATTTAAAGGTATTCTTATTGCAGCATCTCTATCACCAGCTCCATAATAAAGATTTTCAGGAGTCTCATATCCAGTAATAAGCCTTTTATAGCTATTTGTAGTTGGATTAGTAAATGCCATTATAGCTGGAGTATGAGTTAATATTCCACCAATAAAATAATGACCTATTTCAGATAAATTGTAATATTTAGATGATTTATCAAAAAAAAGATTTGAATTATTTTTCCAAAGTGATATATTAATATGCATTCCACTACCATTATCATTTATTAATGGTTTAGGCATAAATGTAACTGTTTTATTATGTCTATGGGCAATCCCTTTAACTAGATATCTTATACTCATTACATTATCTGCAGATTTAAGTAAAGGAGAACAATATACTCCTAATTCATGTTGACATGTAGCAACTTCATGATGATGTTTTTCAATAGGTATACCAATACATTCAAGTTCATGTAATATTTCACATCTAATATCCAAATTTCTATCTGCAGGATAAGGAGCACAATATCCTTGTTTTAATTGTCTTCTGCCTCCTAGATTAGATTTTTTTCTTTCATTATTAAGGAAATCTGCTGTACCTGAATTCCAATATGCTTCATCTTCATCAAGACTATAAAAGCTATAATTTGTAGATGTACTATATTGTGCATTTTCAAATATAAAAAATTCATTTTCAGCACCTATAGCACATATATCTGCTATTCCTGACTTTCTCATTACTTCTTGTGCATTATATGCAATAGAACGTGCACAAAAGTGAAAACTATTTCTATTTGAAAAATGGATATTACATATTAGGTGTAATGTTTTGCTATAAAAAAATGGATCTATCCATCCTGTAGTTGGATCTGGAATAATAATCATATCTGAATATTTGTTATATTTCATTCCTCTAACTGAGCTTGAATCAAATGAAATTCCATTAGAAAGATCATTTGCATCTTTAATAGTTTTGGTACTAACTGTAATATGGTGCAAAGATCCAAATATATCACAAAATGTACAATCTAAATATTCTATATTTTGCAGTTTTATGAATTGGAATAATTCATTATAATCTTTACAAGTGTTATAATCTTCATGATCCATTGTTACTGATACTTTAATATAAATTTTTATTAAAATCTTCTGAAAGTGTATAAATTTAATCTGTTACTTAAAACTTATTATTTTATGTATAGAAGTGACTAAATAAATGTGAAACAATAAATAATAAAGTATAAAATTAAAAAAAAAAAAAAAAAAATACACTTGAGGCGCCATATTAATGGTTTGTGATCAGCAAATTGCAAGAGTCTAATTGCAGATTTGTCCTATGCGCCAGTAAAAATTACCAATATTACATTCAAGGTATTTGATTATTTTGATTTATTGCTAATTCTTCGTATGTATCAAAAGAATGATACTAATATGGTTTATGATTTATATCAACCAGGATGTTTGGTTTGGGTTCCATGCCAAAGAGAAGTTTGGAAACCAGGTATTGTTTCCAAAGTTAACAAATCACAAGTATATGTAAATGTATCTAATACATTAGATGATGAAACTCTTGAAAATGTCTCAGAAGAGATTATTATTGATTGTTCTGGTGATCAAAATTCGAATAATTCAAAGATCTATATTCGAGTAGCTGATGAATTATCTGATTATGGTGTAGTTGCTCCTGATGATTTATGTGAATTAACACATTTAAATCAACCTGCAATATTACATGCATTAAATACCAGATTTGATCTTGATAAGATTTATACTTTTACAGGTCCTATTTTAATTGCTATAAATCCATTTAGAAAACTGAATAAATTGTATGATTCTGAGACATTAGAAAATTTCAGATCTGTTGATTCATTTCGTATACCTCATGTATTTAGTATAGCAAATAAAGCATACTTTGGTATATATACTGAACAAAAATCTCAAACAGTACTTATTAGTGGAGAATCAGGTGCTGGTAAAACTGAGACAACAAAATTTGTATTACAATTTCTTGCAATAGCTGGAGCAAGTGGAGGATCTTTTGAAGATCAAATACTTCAAAGTAATCCACTTTTAGAAGCTTTTGGTAATTCACAAACTTTGAGAAATAATAATTCATCTAGATTTGGTAAATTTATTGAGATATGTTTTGGTAATAATGAAAATAACAATAGACTACAGATTTGCAGTGCAAGTATCAACACATATCTTCTTGAAAAAGTACGTGTATGTTTTCAACAAGAAGGAGAAAGAAATTTTCATATTTTTTATCAACTTTGTGCAGCAGCATCAACATTAAAGGATTCAAAAAAACATACTTATATATTTCCATCATCAAGAACTAATTCTATATCATTTTTAAATACTAATTCATATTCATCAGATAGGAATGATGGATTCCCAAAAGAGAATATTAAAATTCCTAATATGGAGATTGATTTATCATATATTCGTGAACCTGAATATTATAGATATTTAAGAATGTCTAAATTTATTGATTGTGATATTGAACAGTTTGAGAGAACTTTATATGCAACTTCAGCAATGGGAATAACTACTTCTGATTTTCATAATATTTTAAAAGTTCTTAAGGCTATTTTATATCTTGGAAATATTGAGTTTAATGAAGATGGTGAAGGTTCTATCATTACTGAAGAATGTTTATATGATATGAAGATAGCATCATTTCTTTTATCCGTGCCAGAAGATCAACTTAAATTAGTTTTATGTTTCAAGAAGTTACAACTTAAGGAGGGTGAGGTTATGAAACCACTCAATATATCTGAAGCTGAAATGACCAGAGATTCATTGGCTAAGACATTTTATGGTTTAGTTTTTGAATATATTGTACTCTTAGTAAATTCTAAAATAAAAAGTTTTAATATATCACAAGATAATCTACCTTACTGTGGTGTTTTAGATATTTTTGGTTTTGAATGTTTTTTATATAATAGTTTTGAACAATTATGCATAAACTTTGCAAATGAAAGATTACAACAAATTTTCAATAATTTTGTTTTCAAAGTAGAACAAGATTTATATATCCAAGAACAAATACTTTGGAATCCTATAGATTTTCCAGATAACAATGAATCTGTTGAATTACTACAACAAATAAGTCCTACATTAGGAATATTTCCTGCCCTTGATGAAGAGTGTAGAATACCTCGTGGATCTGATATTAGTTTTTTAAATAAATTAGTTAGAGAATATGGACCAGATCAGAAACCTGGTCATCCGAAATTTGATATTGTCCGTAAAAATCCTAATTATTTCACAATAATTCATTATGCAGGTGCTGTTAGCTATTGTGTTGATGGATTTCTTGAAAAAAATAAAGATCAATTATCTGCTTTTGCATTAGATACTATTTTGTCATCATCAGATCAATGGATAGTAGATCTTGCTGCATACAATTTTTGTGGTAAGTATTTAAGAAATAATCAAGATTCGAATGAAGGAATTTTAGGAAGCCCCTCTGCAACTAAAAAGAAGCAGACTGTCGGTGCATCATTTCGAAGACAATTAAATACTTTGGTTTCAACTATTAAGTTAACTACACCACATTTTATACGTTGTGTAAAACCAAATAATCTGAATGTCCCTGATCAATTTGATAGAAAATCTGTTTCTGAACAGCTTAACTATAGTGGTGTTCTTCAAGCAATCCAAGTAAGTAGGGCAGGATATCCTGTTAGATTTAATCACCAAGAGTTTTTGTTAGATTACATTATCCTATGCTCTCCAGTAAAAGGATCAAATATTGAATTAGATAAAACAAGATTTATTTATTGGAGGAATTTAACATTTACTGGAAGTGATGATGAAAGACGAATTATTACAAAAGAGTTTTTAACATATTTAGAGGAAAATAAGGTAATAAAGAAAAATAATGAACAATTTCTTTGGTCAATTGGTCTAACCCGTGTATTTTTAAAAGTAGATATGTTCAGAATATTGGAGTCATTGAGGATGAAGATTCGTGATATTGCTGCTACGAGAATACAAAGTATATGGCGAATGAATATTGCAAAAAAAATATTTAAAGTAAAAAAGAAGCTAATAGTTGATATACAACGAATATATAGAGGATTTTTATGTAGAAAAGAGTACAAAAGACTTCTCAAACATAATTCAGCTATTTTTATTTTAAATTACTATCGTTCATATCAGGCAAGACAAAAGTTTTTGAAAATGAAGAAGAGTTGCATAATAATTCAAGGTTTTTGGCGAAACCTTCTTAACAAAAGAATCCAAGAAGAGATAAGAATAAATAATTCTGCTAGTATTATTCAAGCTACTTTTAAGATGTATAAAGAATATAAATATTTTAAAAGCTTAAGTATTGGAGTAAAAAAGATACAGACCTTGTGGAGAGGTAGATTAGCTCGCAGACAGTTACGTAAACTTAGAGAAGAAAGGAACCAAATTGGTCAGATTTTTGCAAAATATCAAGAATCTAATGCAGAACTTCAAAAGTTAAGAGGATCTTTATCAAGATTAGAGGATCAACTCAGTATCTTAACTGCTGAAAGAAATAAGCTAAGAGATGAGGTTTTGTTGTTACAGAAAGAATTGAATATCTGGAAAGATACTGCAGAATCTAAAAATCAAAAATATATTGAGATGCAACAAAGTGTAGAAGTCTTAAAATCACAAGTAAAAAACTATGGAGATATAGAACAGAAATATGAAAATGCTAATAAATCTAATAGTGATGAGAAGTGGAAGGATCTATATTTAAGGCTACTGAAATTATCATCTTATCCTTACACAAAAATGGGATTGTTAGAATCATTAGTATCATGTCTATTTCCTACAGATACAGAATCTATTGTTTCTAGTCATCAAGATCGTCAGATAGGTTTGCTTTTCTGTGGATCAGCTTCAAGTGGAAACAAATTACTTATGAACAAATTTTTGGATTTTGTTGGTATAGGATCAATGGAAGATAATCAACTCCAGGTATATACATTGGAGCTTGCAAATATACCTGGTGGTCATATATTAGGATTAAGTGAAAATTTAAGAGATAATAATATTAGAGAATCAAGTATTGGTGAGAGGTGGCCTTTGAATATAATGAATATTACTGGCTTAGAATCTGAAGAGATGATTCTTCAAGCAATATCTTTTTTCTCAAGAGCACGTGTTGCAGTCTTCGTATATGATATTGCTAATTATCAATCATTTGCTAAACTTTTTGAGGTAAATGATGTTACTATTGGAGGGCCTATTAATAAAGCTATTGAGAGTGGTTGTTTAGTTATATTATTTGGGAATCTTTATTCTGTAGTTCATAACAAATCCCCCATACAAGTAAAAGTTGAAGAAGTAAGGCGTATTGGAAGTGAGTTAGATATTGTAACTCTTGAATCTGATTCAATTATTCCACTGATATATTCAATTGTTGGAATTTTAACAGCAAGATGTTATTCACAAGTTCAACAAGATCATTCTGATAAATCCTTATCTAAACAATTGCAAAATTCATTCTTCTCTAGATTTAATGATGGTATACAACGAGCATTTGGGATACGTAGTGCAAAATATGCTATGAATAAATTAGTTTCTGACAAGGCAGAATTCTTGATACCTACAGTTGATTCATTAGAACTTCCTGATGAATTAACAAAAGATTATTTGGACGGAATTTGTCCAGTTGTTAATATTAAAGATGAACAAAATAGTTCTGTAACTCACATCGTATTTTGTCGTGATATTCAATCTGAGCCATATACTCTTCTTTTAGTTGCCAGGAAAAATGGTATTATTCAGGCTTATTATTGTTATAAAACACGTTTTGAGTATGAAAATGAAGAAAATTCAGCTATAGAGTGGTCAGGAAGAGTAGAAGAGGCATATTCAAGAAAAGCTCATAATAGAGCAATTACTTCTTTAGCTCTATCACCTGATGAATCAGAATTTTTATCAACATCGATTGATATGACTGTTAGAAGATTCCTCACCGCAAATGGTCAAGCAATAAGTTTATTTTCTGACAACTCTCCTGTTCTAGTTGGATCCTATTTACCTTTCCTCCCATCACTATTTATTGTATCATCATCAAAACCACTTTTAAGAATTGTAAATGTTGATATTGGTGTTGCACAGAAAATAAAAACAGATTCAACTATTCGTGCTCTCTGTTTCGATAGTACTGGAATGTATTGTTTTGCTGCTTGTAAAGAGGGTAGAATATATGTATTAGTTAATATTGCAGTAAAATCAGCAACAAATATGAGAACATCTGTAGAGACAGATTTTCGTTTTACAGATAAACGTGGTATGCAAGTATGTAGCAGAGCTATTACAAACATGTCATATATTAATAGTTCATCAAATTATTCACTAATAAAAAAGACTAAGAATTTAGCCCCTTCTCTACCTGTTCTGGTAGTAAATGCAGCAGATTCTACAATAACAGTAATAGATATAAGATTGCAAGCTCCAACTGGACAAATAGATATATCAACTGTACCTCATGTAGTACTCCAAGTAAGGTTTAGAATAGCAAATCCACATTCTTTGATGCCTTTAAGATCATGTTTTTCTACGCATGGAGGTATATGGATAGCTTCAGCTGCTGAAGATTGTACAGTAAGAATATTTTCACTAAATTCTGAATCTTTTGATAAAGAACAAGTTATACTAACAGGTCACAATGTACCCGTAATAAGTACAGCTATAAATGCATCAAGTACAATATTAGCAAGTGGAGATGCAGACGGAATTATAATAATATGGCGTCGTTTTGCAAGTCAACAGAATACATAATACTATATCCTTAATTTACTCTACGATAGAAATACAAGTAGCCATATTCCTTCTTAAAATCCTCTAAATTTTTGCAAATACTCACTTTCATGTCATTATATAGTACCCAGGAAGAATTTCCATTATCCATAATTTTTTTAATGAAAGATACATAATGTCCACTATGTGCATTCTTCCCAAGATGACATACTACCGCAGTCAATTCATATTTACCATATCCATCATCTATATTCTTTGTAATTTGTGGTGTATTTATCTTAATATCATGTGTCTGAATATGCATAGAACCATCAAGTATCATTTGGATTGCAGTTTCTACATTACCAAATTTACATAAAGCTGCTTTTGCTATATCGTGAGGGCAGCAACATACCGAGATAATTGTATTAATATCATCATTTAAAGGTAATGTATCTGATATTCCCTCCATATATTTAAATTCCTCAATATTATCAATATTCGATAATATCCAGTTTAAACAAACATCAGATTCACTGGATTTCGTCTCACGAAAAGCTAATATAGCATGATTCCTCGTAAAACCTAGTTCTTCTATTGATCTGATTAAATCTTCATTAGGTAACTCATCTATATTAGTAAAAGCTATCTCCCCAGGAGCAAGAGAATCTGATCTTCTTAAAAATTCTATATCTAAGATATCTGGCACCTTAACTTTATCATTTATTTTAAGTGGTTTCCATGAATCTGATAAATAAAATCTTTTTAAGTGAATGATCAAATATGGGGGCATTGTCTTCATGAAATTTCTTCTATTGGCTTTACCAACTTTGTTAGTTGCAGGTGATAAGAAGTTTTCTATAGTATCTTCTTGTGTCCAACCCTTTATTAGATCCATTAAATCAATACAATTTAATATTGACTCATCACTTTGTCTTTGTTTCTTTAGTGTCCTAATTGGTGAAATATCTAATTCTGAGGGCATTGATAATGATAAAATATGTGTTGTTTCTGCTAAGTATCTAACTTGTTTAGATTGTTCACATTCAAGTCGTTCTACTTGTTCATATAAAAAGCATCGTGCCATTCTCTTAGATGCCTCCATAATAAGCTCATCAGGTGAGTTAGCTAATAATTCTAAATGTGAATTAAGCTTTCCCATAAAGTATGTTAAGAATTCTTCTGCATCTTGTTGATGTGCAGATGAAAATTCACAATGACCTTTGGTAACAACATTCTTTAATTGGATAGGTGATACATAATCATAACTATCTTCTTCAGTAATAATTCTAGATATTATAGCTTCCTTCGGTATATCCAATGATTCTATCTTTGAAATTAAACTATCTATATTATTCTTATATTTGTTTACACGTCTCTCTCGTTCTATCTTTACTTCATCCGTTATAAGAGCAATATTAACTTTTGCATATTGAAGAATTAAATCTTCATTGACCTTTTTATCAGTATCATATCTTAAAAAATTTTCTAATATATTTTGAAATAGATCCACAAATAAAACTTTAATCTCACTTATATATGACATAACCTGGAATATAGAATTCATATAACAGGAATTACCTAAATTTTCTAAACCAACAAAACCTGGTCCAGATATTCTTTCTAGTTCATTATTTGAATCAGAAAAAGACCAATTAAAAGTAGCATTATGTTCACTTTGCATCTCAGCTACACTTTTATCACACTTTCTTAATAAACCAATATTAATCTGAAAATGTGCAAGATGATCAATAAGATTGGGATCAATAACTAGATCATCCTCATCTTTATCATAAGAGAAAACATCCGCATTTCCTAATGGAGTAATTGTGCCAAGTTTTACTACTAAAGGCCTATCTGGAAACATTTTATAATGTAATAGTGCAGCACCTTCACTCCCATCTTTACAACCACCTCCTACTCCATAAAGTTTTCTACCACATCCTATAAATCCATCACTCAAATTTAACCAAAGATTATTTGTAGCACTACAAACCTCACATTTCCAACCACTTGAAACCACAGGTTTCGGATTATCAATTTGAAACAAAGTTGCAGCATGTTTTGTAATCTTCCTATCTTCAGTCAAAGCTATATAATGTGATTGATCTGAATTTATAGATGAATTATCAGTTATATGTTGTATTAATTCTTTTAAACAATCTGGTATAATAGGATCATTTATTGGTATTCTAATCATATTAGGTAATATTACTATTTGGTAAGAGTATTCAATATCAAAAAATTTCAGATCTGGGTTTAAAATATCATCCTTAAATAAAATTATATCATCTTTATATTTTCTTTCGGCTAATACATTTAAATATAATTTACATCCTCTACATTTATAGTCCCACATAAGATATTGCTCTGAAAAAGCCTCAAATGTCATAAGATTAACATATAATCCGCCCAAAGATAGTGCATTTTTAAAAGAAAGTTGACATTCAGATTTCCAAAAATAAATTGATCTCTTTACATCATTACACACACTATTTGATAATTCAATTAAGTCAAAATCTTCCTTATTATTCATTACTATATTTTCTTTACATCTTCTTAAAAATATCACGTGGCATTATTTCGAAATATAAACCGCTTAAATACTCGTCTCGTCTCGGAGCGCCTCAAAATATTATTAAAGGCTAAAACATACATCACGCGTGGGGCTCTACATGCTTATATACAATTTTATTTGCAGATTAGAGTTAACATTTATATTTTGATATCTAATGTTTTGAAACTTTGTGTAATTTGATATATTCAAGTCCTCTTTTATGGTTAACAGTAGTGCAAGTTAGAACTAGTTACAACACGTGGGACCTTGCAGAAATATTCATATTTTATGATTTGCACTACAGATGGCTTCCGTTGATTTCTCAAATAATTTTCCTTCAAGAAAACGCAGATCTGGTATTTGTTTTTTACTTTTAGTTACTTCTATTATCTTATTTTTATATATATGTTATATATTAATCTTATTACAACCCCTACTTGACTTTGTTTACATTGGCGCAGCTGTGGGAATTAGTTTTCATATAGTATTTATGTTGTTTATTCTATCATTCTATCAATGTGTAACTACTGATCCGGGAAGAGTACCTTCTAAGTGGGGTTTTCGTGTTGGTGATGAATCTAAAAGAAGAAGATACTGCAAAGTATGCCAGGTATGGAAACCTGATAGAACTCATCATTGTTCAGAATGTGCTAGATGTGTTCTTAATATGGACCACCACTGTCCATGGATTAATAATTGTGTTGGATTTTATAATAGAAAATTCTTTATTCAATTATTAATATATGCACAATTTTCACTTGTATTCATATTTTTTCAAGGAACTTTATTTTTAATTGAACAATATGTTTCCTTTTGGCCTTATAATCATGAAATAGATCCAACACCACTTGGAAGATCTATAGAAGCTTTTAAAGTATTTATTGTTATTGCAATGCTTATTATTACAACACCTTTATTATTAGCATTATTTCCTTTCTCACGCTTACATATTGGATTTGTAGTACGTAATATTACTACAATAGAAAGTTTAAGTCCTCAAAGTCCTGAATATGGTAGATATGACCTTGGACCTGAAAGAAATATCCAACAAGCATTTGGATATAATCCATTACATTGGTTCTGTCCATTTAACAATAGATCATCACGTCCCGCAGGAGATGGAGTTAGATGGCCAGTTAGATGCCCAGAAATTGATATTGAATTGGGACAATTTGCAGCTTATAAGACAACAGAAAATACTAATCATATTTCTTTAAATACTTATCATCAACAAGGTCAATCTTTCTCACCTTATGGTGGTAGTAATAGCATTTATCATCAAATATAATCTTTTAATTATTTTGAGATATGTAAATTGAATATATAAATATTCATAGATTATTTATTTTAATAAATTACATCATATTCTACTTTTTATTAGTTATATTTACAAAATTTTTTTATTATCTAACAAAATTTATTTTAATTTAAAACTTCATCTTTTATTTATTACAAATACAAAATAAAATATCAATTATTTTAAATCAATTGTATTTTTTTAAATATTATAAATCAATAAATATCTAAGGAGTCTTAAATATTCATCATTATATTATTTATATTTGCACAACCTTTATTATAAATCTTTAAGAAAAGGAATCTTAAAATCAAGATAATATTTCTCACATTTTATTTGAAATATACTTCATTATTATTATATAGATTTCTATTATTCATTCCAATTTTATCACAAAGTCTCTCATTATTAATCACTTTATAAATATATTTATATTATAAATAAATAAAATTTAACATAGTCCTATTAAGTCTTTTTCCTATTTAAATAAATTATTATAAGTTTCATATTTATAATCATTTTTATAATATCCATTTTAAAAGCTTAATTATATATTATTTAACTAAATTCATTAATCAAATTTTATAATATAATTATATATAATTATTAAAATATTTAAATAACTTCTATTTAAAAGCTAATAATTAATCAATTTTTATTATTTCTTATTTATTATCTAGGAATACTTTTATAATTAATATTATTGTAATTTATCTATTAAATTAATTTATTTTAATATTAACTAAAATGTTATTTTAAATATAAAAAGTAATATTAATATCAATTTTATTTAAATTTCTATTAATTTCATAAATATTTCACAAAATCTTAAATCTTATACTAACCTATTAGAGTTTAATTATTTTAATTCTTATTAAAAATTTTAAATATATCTTTTATTACTAAAGTTGTTATATTTAATTAATAATTTAATATTGTAAATATTTCTAATTAATTAAAATATAATTAATATTTTATATATTTAATATTATTTTCTCTAATCAATAATTAACTATAGATAAAATTATTATTATACTTAGACAAAAAATTTCTATATTCCTTTAATTCTTGTAAAACAATATCTCTGAGCTCATTATGCAAAATAGTAAGATATAAATTTTCACAATCTCTATTATTAAGCTCTAGCTCATATATTTTATCAAATATTATTCTTTTTAATTTTGGAAATTTTGTATTAATAGTACAACTAGTATTATATAAAGTTTCAAATAATATATTACTTTCATCATCTTTATAATTTAATATAATTACTTCACAATATTTAAACTGTCTTAAAAACCATTCAATTATTTTTCTAAATATATTATTATTCAATTTATCTTGATCTTCAATATATTTATTAATCTATAAAAAATGTATAATTAATTAAACAATATTCAAATATATTAGAAAAAAAATACCTCATATATTAATAATTTTGGAATTTCCTTAATATCTAAAGTACATTTCTTAATTGCCTCATATTGACCACTTTTTAAATAAGATAGAATGTAACTGGTACAAATAAAATGTAGTACTAAACGTATAAATTTATGATCAATTTTATACCATATATTCTCATTTAAATCTAATTTCATTACTGATTCTATATATGTATTTATTGAATATTTTGTTTTGTTATATGAATCTTCAGTTAAAGATATATATCTATTAAATATTATTGAATATTTTTTAATAAATCTTATATATTGAAATATATATATTTTAACATCATTCCTTAAAAATTGTGTAGAATTATATCTTTTATTTAAAATTAAAACCTGAATAATAGAATGTAATAAGTTATATAATTCATTTCTATTATTATTATTTAATATTTCCATAGATAAAATAATACAATATATTGATTTTATTATCTTTATATTAAAAATAATTTCACTAATACGATTATATAATGCATATTTTATTATAATATTAATTGGTTGATTAACTTTATCAGTAGAATCTTTTATTTTTAATCTACAATTTGAAATTATAATTAAATTTTGTGAGATATGGCTATCAATAGATTGTAATTTTGTTGTATTCTTAAGATAATAAATAAATAAATAAAATATGTAATATATATATATAAGATAATAATAATAATAATAATAATAATAATAAAAATACCTTTTGAATTAATGTTAATGAGTTTAAAAGATTTAAATTTATTTTATTTCTTATATTATTACTTATTTCAGATAATTTATCTATTATATTATTCATATAATTAATATCCAATTTCTTTTTATCATCTTCAATATTTAAATTTAAATCATTTAAGATCTTCATTTATTATACAACCATTTATTAAAATATTACATAAGTTATAATATAAAATAATAGGATTATATAAAAATCAACAGCGGCTATAATTATTGAATAAAATAGCTTATAATAAAAAGACTATAACCTAAATAGAAATATCTAACAATAACAATAATATAATATATATTACAATATATTAAAAGTATTAAAAAGAAATAAATTTGAAACTATGAACATATCTAATATAATATTTAATATTGATTAAATATTTAAATTTAAAGTTTGTGTTCTATGGCTAATACCATTAGCTAAATGTATAAATATCTGGGTACATTCATTTAAACGTATTATTATATCTTCTAAATTAGTATCTCCAATATTAGAATTTTCAAGTAGATTTTCATTATTAATATATTCACATACAGAATAAGAATCTTTTCCATATATTAATTTTTGTTCATTTTGTAAGAAATTCTTCTCAAGAATATTTCTGAGATTTCTAAGTTTTTTCTCGGTACATTCCCAAGGACAAGTTTTAATAGTTTTCTTATTATTTATAAATATATATTTTGTAATGAAAATAAAAAATGTAATAAATAATGATAACATCCATATTTTAATACCTGATATAGAATTACTTGATGGATTTGATACAATTATTGGTAAATTTAATAATAAATAATATATTGAATAAATCCATTTTGAAATTTTCATATATAATTTATTATATATATTTAATAATATATATATATATTGATAATCAGATATTATATATGATTGTAATAATTTATATATATCTAAATTAAATATTTTCTTATATAATAAATAAATATAAATTTGATATAATTTGTATTTATTAAATTGTTGTAGTAATTTATATAAACTATAATATATAGAACTTGTTACATATATTGGGAGAATTGATAATTTTATAGGATCTTCATTATCTGAAAGAATTTCTAATTTTTTTAAATTTCCTACTTCATCCAAAGCAATTTGTATATCCCTTGTTTTATTTTCTAATTGTTTAATATCATTAATTTTTTTATTATCTTTCAATTTATTAGTATATAATTCTATATTTTGATCTTTAATATTTGATTCTATTAATATATTTTCAAATTCCATATTATCATCTCCTAATTTTTTATCAATATTCTCTATTTTATAGTTAGAATTATTTAATTTATTAATAACATATTCTATTTTACTTAAATTATCCAATTTATTATTTCCACTTTGTATATTATTTACTTCAACTATTTGTATAATTCTATTAGAACTATTATTATTTTTAATATTTATTTCTTCAGAAGTTCTAACATTATTGATCTTATTATATATATCTTCAGTTATTCTATTTATAGTCAAATTACTATTATTTTGAATGTTACTTAAAATTTCACATTTATTAATATTAAAGATATCTAATAAATATGTATTCAAGTCCATTATTATACATTTATTATCTAACTTTATATTTAATATATTTTTTGGTAAAATATCACTTTGTATTTTTATCTCACTTATATTCTTATCATATGTTAAATTATTATTAATAATCAAATCACTTGATTGGATTTCTTTAGGAAAATTCTTATTCTTATTATTTGTTATATTATTATTAGCTATAGAAATATTTGGTTGAAAATTTTTATAAATATCTTT